ACATGTAATAACTTTCCTATGGGTAATAAAGTCCTAAATGTAATAAACTTGGTCCTAGATGTAATAAGCCTTCAAGGCAATAGTTTTACTGCACTTGTACATCCAAACTTAGATGTTAAAGGGACAACTGTTGCATCAGAGAATCCTCTGACCAAACTTCATGGCGTATTGCGGGCTCGCTCGTTGATTTTAATCAGCATCTTTTTTTTTGCTAGAGACGTAGGCCGAGAAGCATTGGCTACAAACCTTCATACTGATGTGCTCTTGGCATCAAATTGAAAGATCTCAAAATAATAGAACATTGACCAATCCGGCCATCTTGACCAAACAGGCTTGGTCAAGAGATTTTATATTTTCGCCAATAACTTTTCAAGGAAAAACCTGCTTTCATTTCAGTCATCTCGGATAACGAAAAATAGTTTTTTTGTTAACGCATCACGACTGGCATATCCTTCACAGTTCACGGCTTTTAAGTTTTTATAATCGCGAGTCACGGCAATTAAAAACAGCCGATCACGTTTCACGGAAAACCTCCCTTACGGCCCTCGATTCTCGATATTTATGCTTAGTGGCTCTTAAGTCTTACTTTCAGAAATGGAGACGAGACGGACGAAACGAAATTATTTGTTTGATCCGTTAACTCATGCACAATCATAGCATGAAAACTACAAATTCTTAACCTTGGGATCCTAAAATAATTTACAGAACAAATCCAAATTTGCGGAAACACTGTAGAAGTTCAAAGGAACAATGTAGTTGATTTAATGTTACCTCTAGTGTTCTTTATCCATTAAGACTGGGAGAAATCTATGACGTATGAAAGAACTGAAGCGGAAACTGTTTCCAAACAGAATTTACATAAAGTTGAACATTTCCCATATTCAGGGATACAACTCTTTAATCGAAAGCAGATAAAGGCGTATTTTTTGCATTTTCTTCTCAACATTTAGGACATTGTATTTTAGTTTCTCCTTGGCGTCTTCCAAAATATACCACAAGGTATGGTGGAAATCATGTTGGAAGAAATCGAAAGTTACGACGCAGGAATATTAACAGCTGAAGGCTTTTGAAAAGTCCCGCAGTATATATACTTTCCTTAGTCTTAAAACTCATTAAATGGTCTTCAATGCAACCCTTTGCCTATGCTTTAAGTTAGAATTTGAGAGATATTTCTTTCACTGTGCGAAAAGGTTGGAAAACGTTTTTGTTTTCCGCGATGAGCGATTGTCACGGCATTTAGTTAAGATATTTGCTTTCTCTTTTCTGTTGTGACTGTCTTAAAAAGCGCATATACATCTCAGGTCCGTGTGACTAACAAGGGACATCAATCAGAAAGCGACAATATATGGCGATCTTTCTCGTCCTATCAAGAAAGATGCCGTTTGCGCAGCCAACAGTCAGTTATCACAAACATTTATCTATCTGATGGTTAGTCTTGTTATATACCTACCTTGAAATTCAAGTTCCTTGACAGCACACAATGAGGCTGATTAGTGTCATGATTTATACGTAGGAAATGCGCAATT